CGCACCCTCGCGGGCTGCCGCGTTCTGCCGCGCTCGAGCGGCGGATTCCGCGTGCTGCCGCGCTCGAGCGGGTCCGATTTCGGATTCCGCGTGCTGCCGCCCTCGCGGGTCGGGTCGTGTCAACCCGGCAACCCGCCGGGTCGGGTCCGGGTTCGGATTTTCGACCCGTTTCTCTACCCGGGTCGGGTTAGGGTCGACCCGTTTTCCACCCGGGTCAGTTCGGGTTCGACCCGAACCCGACCCGTAACCCGAAATTGACACCCCTAATTAATATACGCTTGTCATTAACACATCTCCCGTTGACTACGGTCTCTACGACTATCTTCACCAACTACAGTCTTTCTAATATTTGCTGCCCGCCGACTACCATCATCCGACTACGATCATCCGACTACGATCTTTCCGACTATCATCATCCAACTACGATATTTTTGACTGAATATTTCGATGAGACAAACGCAACGATACCATTGTATCCGTTTGCCTTTCCCTCCTCTCTCCCGTCAATTTTTGAATTTCAATTTTCTTAAAATATTTTAAATCCCATAAAATAACTGCTAACGAAATAATGGAAGAGGTTTTGAGCTAATTCATGAGAAGACTGAGAAGTCTTTCTGTTTTGATAATAAACTTTCTCAATTGTCAAGAAGCTTGGTGGTCGATAATTATTCTTTTATGATGAAAATAACTAGTTATCTTTTATCTACCCTTCATATAATTTTTGGTACCTTTATCAAATTAAATAAAATGAAATAATTTCTTTTTCAATTCTATGTTTGAATGATGTGTTTTGTCGGGTAAAATGAGTAGGTTGTGACTTGATCAAATATAACAAATCAATACGTAAAAATGAACTCCATAAACTAAAGTAATAATAGACTTAATTCGGAACTTCTATCAACCGGATAAAGCTAATCAATAAATCACCTTGAGGCCCTCAAAATAATAATTTAGAGCAGCAGGCATGGTGGGCTAATCCCCTTTGTTGAGTAGTTCAATGACAATTAAATGACTTCTGCAGAATGGTGAAATTGCTTCTGCTGACTTCTCAAATAATCAATTGATTGGCTAAAAAGGTTAGTCACGTAATCAGCTGGGACCTCTTGGATGATTGGCGAATTTTAACGCATGCTAGATTGAGTTCCATTAGCTAGAAGATGAGTCAAGTCGTCGATTCTCTCAGCTCTCACACGAGATGTCATTTTATGTACTCACACTCTACTAAATTCGAACTTGGTTGCAAAGGAGGGATTCTCTTTCCAGGACTAGGTTATGTCATTTGCACACTCCAAGAACTTTGGTAAGTTGCTAGAAATAGATAAAACATTGTAACTCTACAAAAGTCCACTTCCCTATGTGTCAGATAGAATAAGCACTGACGCCGGGCTATATACACGCGTCACAGGCTTTATTTCAGCTACACAACTTCAGTAGTTACGATATATTTTTTTTTTAGTTTCTTTCCCTCTGTATTGCCTTGAGTTTAACTGCCGTTTGTATAAATATTGGTAGTCATTGATTAATAAAGGAGGTTGATTGTTTTGGAATTATAATTCCTTTTCTTGGTGATGCTTCTGTATCCTGACCATCGTCAGGTGGTGAATTAAGCATTGTTTATCTGTATCCTGAAGACTCCAGCGACGGTACCCTGTGTTGGCCTTGGGTCCGTTCCCTGTTCCTTTCAGGTGGTGGTGTTCCTAGATGAATCTTGATCTAAAGAAGGCGACAAATCTGCCAGAGAATTGATACAGCGAGGTATACGGTTGAATTATCAATTGTATCACTTCGTTGTTCAAGACCGCGACGATCTTTGTTGTCTCAGTCCGGTGTCAACTGGTATCAGAGCCGGCAAGATGCCGCCTCGTCGAAACGCGCAGAGACCGGTACAAGAAGTCCTGATCGAGGATTTACAGCGAGAGATAGCCCAATTACAACAGCGACTGACTCAGGTCGAACAAAGAGAGCCATCGATGCATCCAAACGAAGAGGATGATGTGAATCCTTTTCATCAAGATAGCTCCAATGATGAGGAAGTTGACAGAAGAACGGTCGGAAGGACTAACAGAAGGTTAGCTCATGATTGTGGAATTAAAATAGAACTTCCTGATTTCGATTGACGTATGGATCTTGATGAGTTCATCGGGTGGTTACAAACCGTTGAGCGTGTTCTTGAATTTAAAGAAATACCTGCTGATCGTATCGTTAAATTAGTAGCGATCAAGCTCAAACGGGCAGCCTCGCTTTGGTGGGAAAATTTGAAGAGGACAAGAAATCGTGAAGGTCGGAATAAAATCATTTCTTGGCCAAAGATGAAGAGGGAATTGCAGCGAAAATACATCCCGGAACAGTATAAGCAAGAACTATTTCTGAAATTTACTCAACTTCAACAACAGCAAATGACTGTGGAAGAGTACATAGCTGAATTTGAACAACTCTCCATTATGTGTGATCTCACCGAACCTGAAGAACATACGATCGCACGTTTCTTGGGAGGATTGCATCCAACTATCGCCAACATTGCTCAACTGCAACCTTATTGGACCTTTCAGGATGTGAGTAGTTTGGGGTTGAAGGTAGAGAAACAGCAAATGCGGGCCAAGAAGTACAATAATAAGAGTCTAACATTGGAGGTCGTGGCTGATAAAGATGTCAGAATCAATAAATCTCCTGCCAGCACAAGTAAATCTGTCGAAGAACACCCATCCAGGGGATCGTTCCGTACAAATCAATCTACTGCGACACTTCCGGCACGTAAGTGTTTTAAGTGCCAAGGCTTTGGACATATAGCCTCTAATTGTCCTAATCGCCGGGTGGTCACATTAATTGAGGAACCAGATGGGGAAGAATCAGCCAATGTGGTAGCTGATGAAGAAAATTCTGTCGAATCTACCTATTTGCCAGGTGATGAAGGAAATCTGCTTGTTTTAAAATCTGTGCTGAATCTCCATAAAGAGGATTCTTGGTTAAGGCATAGCATTTTCCGGACTACGTGCACTGTTCGAGACCGAGTGTGTAGTGTGATAGTGGATAGCGGTAGCTGCGAAAATGTCGTAGCCGCACTCATGGTGGAAAAATTACAGCTAAATACTACAGACCATCCTTTCTTGGATTCAGAAGCAGGCGGAGGTACAAGTAGACAAACAATGTTTGGTGAGCTTTTCTATCGGGCACTT